GGGGGACCATCTGTAAAACTTTCAAAAATAAAGATTAAAAATTTTTTAAAACAAAATATGCAACCTACATAGAGTGCCAAAGGAAAAATAAAGAATGGATAATATTCTAATATACCCACTTCTACCTTTAAGCATGTCCAGATAAAAATTACACACTACGCCATAAAAATTTGAAAGGCAAAATACAATTTTCAAAAAAGGGCTTATTAATCACCACTCAAGCGGTGGGGTGAAGCTGCCAGCACAATACACAGTATGGAAATAAGTAACCTTGGTTACTGTTTCCAAGGACACTGGGCTCTTGGCTAACAAGAGCTGAGGAGGTGAAGCTGAATGCAATGTTGAGTCATTATAATAAACTTGCATAAGTAAAACCAATGCAGTGGTTTTCCACACTCTCCAAATCCTTATTGGTGGTATCTAATAAAACATTTCTACTATTAAACAGATATGAAAATAATGAATACTTTTCATAACAAAGGCTTTTTGTTGATGCCTGCTGTATTTTCCTCTTGTACGTCCCATGGAGTGACTAAACCTACCATACTTGGTCAAGTCAGCAGTAATTATACTTAGAAATTTTATCTGAGGCACTCTGGAATATATCTAGGAATGGGAACCAATCTAGTGAGTATACTTTTAAAAATGTTAGTGATACAGGCCATTGTGACAGAATAATAATACATACAGCATTTTCCAAAACAAAGTCTCAGCAATGTAAATTCTGTCAAACTGGGTGACATGCATATAGCAAAGGTAGATTTTGTTACGGACTGTTATGGAATGTAAGCCTGTTTGAATTTCGGTGCCATGTGATACCCAAGGTGCTGGTCAGGCTGAACTGGAGCACAGAGGCCTCAGGAAAAGCCTGCTAGAAACTGGTCCACGTGTGGTGTTACTGGCACTTGGCTAGCCCTGTGGAGGGCAAAGGCTCTGAAGGTAACAATTCAGAGACAGCTGTCTCAGTCTTTAGTAGCTGGAGATGGCATCAACTGGAGCAAATGAGAAAAAAAGACTTACCTTATCAACACTTCTCTGACTTCTGTTCATGAAAATGCTCTATACCTTTTTTGGAGAAGATGGAGGCAAAAGGTGTAAGATGGAACAAAACAGAATTTCCTCAAGTTTTGTCCTGAGAAGGGAAAGTAATCTAATTAATTACTTAATGCATCAATTATATAGGCAAAACCAAATTTTTCAGTTATAAATAAAAACTTGGTCTAGATCAGACAGCATAAGTCATACAAAGGGAAACATAAAAGATTCAAAACCTCTTCATAAAGCACATAAACAACTCCGGGAAATGTGTGTCCTAGATTAGCATGTTCTTCCTAGGAATGACAAAGTCCTTAACCACCTGGCTTTCACCCCTGCTTTTATGCATTTAGTTTAAGTGGCAAAGACAATTCCCTACAATAGCATGAGCCCTTTCCTTCTAAAATTCAGTGCTCTTTTTGAACAATTTTCTTCCACAACTCCTAAGTTCCATTACCTTTACCATAAATACAATTCATATTATTTGCCTCAATAGGCCAGGAACTCCACCTTCTCACCCTGAATTTTCAGGTCTCTCACATAGATACTGCTAAGTCAGGCAGTACTGGTACATACGTAGTCATTTTTGGAAATCTGGACAGACGCCACTGCAAAGAGATTTCATTCAGCTGCCTTTCCAATCTTGTCTGAAAAAAATACCATGTTCACAGTCGTGAGGTAAAACAAGGTTT